AAAAAATAAAAAAATAACAAAAATACAAAAATATTTAGCTTTAAGAGGGTTAGGCCTACTCTAAATTAAGGAACGCTCGACCTCGACACGTGATATCGAAATGGGCGAAATCGCCTCTTGATATCACTAACTCTCCTGACTCCTGACGTTCAGGGATAATTTGAATCCAAATGAATTTTTCGCGTGAACGCCTCTGAACGATGATTTTCTTTTTAAGTGGATTCGGCCCGAAGAAGTCTCCTGAACGCCTACAACGTGCCTTTGGAGAGCAAGCACTATCTCATAGTGCAGTGTTAGAGTGGTTCGCGGAAACTTTCAGGGCGACCCGCGAATTGTCCACATATGCGGGCCATGGATCTCACGAGGACATTGCAGTAAATTTGGAACGACTTCCTAATTTTTCCGCCTGGACGCATGCTCTCGAAGCCTCCGCCTGCATTGCAACGATACAGGTGGATTTTTCTTTTCCTCAACTGGGAGAGGAAGAAGCAGCCGAGAAGGCGTGCGACTCCGAGATTCAAGCGCAGGGAAAGGAGTGCGCATGCGCTAGATCTGAGTATGGAGGAAAGGATATAGAGGCCCTTAATTCAGGCAGTAGGGGTGACCCAGCACAGACCCAAGATGGCGTCCACCCTGTTAGGAACGTCTGCAATTTCCCGGCGAGCCCTGTCTAGTATTTTGGTATGTTCATGCTTTTCTTGCTTCAGCTTTCACCTTTCCTGTTATCCTATACAGATATTTAATACTTTCAGCGAGGGGTAAGCATTAAACAAGGCTAACCTAGATTAGGTGGGTATGCCATCTTGTGTAATAAATAGTGGCAGTGTCCAGAGTTGTCAGGGATCCAGTCATATCCTGAGTAGTTGTTCTCTTCATATCCTTTCTGTTTGCCCCTCGTTTAAAAGCGAGGAATGACAGCCTATTGACTGACGACTCTGACATCAGTATGGAACGTTTGGTATTCGATACGTGCTTTTGCACCATAGCTTTTTTTTTTTTAATTATTTATTTCCATCCATAGGCGTAGCGTGGGTGGAAAAAATGGGGGGAACTACAGGAATTCTGGGATACACTTCATTCGTCGTTCCTTTTTCTGTTTGCTAATTTTCTTGAAAAGAGGAGGGGGAGGAGGGTGGCACATGCCCCCCTTGGCTCCCCAACATCACGCAGCTGTTCCCATCCACTGAATTTCGAGCAGTTAAGTCCGATAGTTGAATGTCTTGAAAAAAGGCCCTGAAAAATAATGGTGGGATTTTCCTTTTATCTGCTTGGATACTGGGCTGCCCTGGATGTAGTCAGTAAGCTAATAAAAATTAGATTCAATCCTACTTTTTGCCTTCATATTTATGACTTCATTTGAGTCTGACAATTTTTAGGACTCCTGTACTTCTCTGGCCTGTGCTTGGGCATGTCCCATGCAAGGTTGTGAGAATTCCAACTGCATAGGTGCAGACCTACAGAAGTATCACACTTGACTGAAATCGGCTTGATACAGCTCAGTCAGTAAGCCTAGGGTTGAGCCTCCTTTGAGTAGGGTAGGAGAGACTATTTGCATCAAGCATTCTTAGAAGAAAGGAAGCTGCCATTGCATTGCTCAAAGGGTTGTATGTTTTATGCAGCAGTTCCATCCACTAAATATTCACTTAACAAAGGTCATGGCCTTTTCATCTCTGTACCCTGCATGGATCAGTATATTTGTCCCAGTCATTGAGCTTATGGGCAATGAACTAAATGAATGGGGCATTATCAGAAGAAATCACTGTGGTGATTGGTGAGAAATTGAGATATGCCCAGGTTGGGTCTATAAATAGTTTATTCTTTTTCATTTGATTGTTTCATCCTAAATAATTGATAGATTTTTGGATCTGCAATTATTTGGTTGGTTGGTTTTTATTATCATTGATTTTGTATTCCTGAATGTATATTATTATTTTTGAAGTTTCATTCTAGATCTAGCATGGCGAGTCACCAGTTTTTGTATTGGGTTGCAAGTGGTAGGTTGACCATGAATTTTGTGTTCTCAGGGCAGGGGATGGATTGCATCCACTTCCTGTGGATCAGGAAATAGGAGCTGGCATTCCTCCAGTGGCATCAGAACTTCTCAGAAGACTACAAAGGTGAGTCCTTGAAATTTCAACCTCTTGCAAAAACTAAAAACTTGATGTTGCCATGCTTTTAATACCTTTTTTCAGCTCTCCAAAGACTATCCAGTTGTAGATCACACATATGATGCTGTTGTGGTTGGAGCTGGAGGAGCAGGATTGCGGGCAGCCTTTGGCCTTGTGGCTGAAGGATTCCGAACTGCTGTCATCACAAAACTTTTCCCTACCCGATCTCATACTGTTGCTGCACAGGGTGGGATCAATGCTGCTCTTGGAAACATGGAAGATGATGACTGGAAATGGCATATGTGAGTATCTCAGTTGGGATTTCAAGAACAGTTTTTCTAAAGGTGTAACTTTTTAGTAAAGAAAAAGTGAATTTTAGCTCAGGGAAAGGAATTCTCTTCTTATAGGTATGACACTGTAAAGGGCTCTGATTGGCTTGGAGATCAAGATGCAATTCATTACATGACTAGAGAAGCTATGGATGCTGTCATTGAATTGGAAAACTATGGTGAGATACACAATTTCATTTTCCAAAATGAATGCTGCTGTACAGAACTTGAAAGTTTCTTTTCAACTTTTTATGAAAAGATGTCACAAAATAATCTTTCCTATAACTTACATTCTGTTATGATACCTATTGTTCTCTGATTTTGAAGGAGTTTTGATATTTCATCAAGATCCTCATGCTTCAGGTACTTGACAACTGTGGTAAGATTTCAGTTTAATCTTGGCAATAGGATGTTGGTTGGGTTGATGGGTTATGTGATGCACTGACTGGGAGCTTAACCCACTCAAATGCAGATCTCATTTACTGCAGGGTTCATGTTAACTCGCTATAGCGAGTCCCTGACTCATATTTTCTTGGAGGGACTCATATTTGCAAAACACCTAAGTCCTTGGTACTCATTGACAACTACCTGAACATGTTCCCACTAAGCTGAAGCTAGGTGCCAGGACTTGAAATTTAATAAAGCTTGTGTGAACCCTGATTTATTGTATACAATTTTGATTTTTTAACCATAACAAAGAGACAAGTTATACCTATGGGAACAATTGTGATTTCATATTTTTCTTTGTAGCAACCAGAAATCTTTAACTGTACAGTTTTTTAAATGTGTTAAGACTTGAGTTTGTAGTTATTTTTGGGATGCCTTGGTTGTTCACAAATACTGTAAAAAAAAAATATTTCTTGGAATCTTGTGTCCCCCAAAAATTGTGCATCAATAGAGAAAAGCACTTATTTTTTCTCATATGAAAAGAAGTGCTTTATTTGCATGGGAGCATTCAAAATGGTTCCAGTTTAGAGAAGGATAACTTGTCCTTATTCAAAAACAAACTTGGACAAACAAACTTTAATTTGCAAATAAAATTTGGAAAGAAAGTTGCAACAAAAAATTGGCAAATGTTTTCATCTCATTCAATGCCATACTACCTCATCACAGTGGTGCTATCAATTCAAATCCATAAGAGAAAAGTGGTGAATTAAAAAAAAATTAGGGGAAAATGCAAGAAAATTCATTGAGAAAATGATGAGAAAGAGGTAACATAATTCATGCAATGTTCCCTTGATGCAAAACTCCAAAAATAAACCAAATTGTGTTTTTTCTTTCTCTTTATTAAAAAAAATATTATTCTTGACATTTTCATTAGAAATGTTCAAATTCATTGAATTTGTGATTAGCTTTGAAAAGATTTTCTTTCATCTAGAATCAATTAAAGTACTTAGTTTTGTTCAAGTCATTCCCCATTGATGCACAAGCTCTATCTATGCTTTGCTTTATTTTTCTGAGGTAAAGAAAGTCTGAATTTTAAGTGGCTCAAAGAAAGTATTCCCAGCATTATATGACTGGAATCTCGGAGTATTCATTCTGAGGATGTATCAAAAGAATTTATTGGACATCAGACTCACCCATTCATACACCAAATGATACTTGAGTTTTTAATGTCCAATTTCATTGAAGGTTTCACAATATCACCTATGCATCTTTATATAATGTCCTGTAAATTTTTATGCCAATATGAAGAGGTGTTCCATCTGCAGTTGCTTACCCCCTAAGTGAGGAGACCACCTACAAGCATTGACACATATTATTCTTTGTAATGTGCTGGTCACCTTATGGCATTAGCCTAGTGCAACAGAGATAAAAACTCCCCACTCGGTGGGGTTAAGGTTGGGAGCCTTTTTTTGGCCACCTGCTATAAACCCTATAGAGGAAAACCATGGGAATGAGACAGTAAATGTAAGTGCATTAAGTGTAAATTTTTGGATGCAGGATTCATTCAATTTCAACAGAACATAATATCCATGGCTAAGGTTGTAAGTGAGGGTACATTTCCATTTACAAGTAAATGGGAATCTATGAATGATGAATATGCAAATTTCATACATACAGCTTTCTAAAGTGCTATGTTCTAAAAAAAATACCAAACTTCCAAACCACAAATGCAAAATATGGTTCTATAATTGATTGGAGAATGGACTGATTCCTTCAGCAAAGAACAAGCATGAACTTTTTAAGTGTCTTCTATTTCAGGCTTTCCAGTACCAGGATAGGAATACTTTTGCATAGGAAATGCATTGAAGGAGGTTACAAGGTGCATTAAAAATGTTTTCATCACTTTAAACAGCAAAGTAGTTTGACAGGTTTTAATTCTCAACATTTTTCCTTATCTCAATCACAGTGAACCTGGTTGCATCATTTCGTTCTGCTCTGAAAGTACTTGGGGAGCTCTGTTTATTCTGCAGTGTATTCTGAAACCACTGATAAAAAGCAGATCCAGAAGCTTGTCTGCTTTTGTGTTGGTACCCTTGAAGGTTTTCTGGTAACAGTCCCCATTGTTGGTCACACCTTCTAGAATGGGTTATATTATGAAGTCTCTTTGGAGACTCATTAAATTGAGTAGAGTACATCATCAGTGAGAGCTTTTGGCTTGAACTTTAGTGGAGTGGTCTTTGGATAACTTACCATTTTTTAAGTGTAGGAAAAACTGGTTTATTGAATATTTTCAGAAAAGTTTGGAAGTCATGAAATTATTGTGATACATGCTCTAGAAGTAGATAGGGGTGAATTTTCTTGTCTGCCCATTCCTGCATTTTTACTATAAACTTGCACCATGTGTGCTTGATTGAATATCTATGGAACACTTAAGGACTGTTCCACTGTCTGCCCTCACAATTTCTGAGTGCAAGAATCTTGTACCCCTAGACAGGCAGTGATTAATGATGGCAAGAGAAGTTGATGATTGTGAGCACTCAACATGTTCTGCCTGCAAAAGCCCTTTGATTTTTATTCTGGCAATGTACAGTGAACATTTTACATGCCAGTAAAAATTGACGGCTTGGAAGAAACCATTGGCAAAAAATTGGCTAACACAAACTCACACATAGACATGAACTTGCTCTGTGGATGTTCTATTGAAAAAACTGGGAATGACAGCCCTGAGAGTGTATTGCTATGCTGCTGGGTCACTATTGCTTCTGAAAGGGAATTTTTTATATATAACCCTTTTCAACAGGAAGCCACCATTCTTGGCACCCTCTGATTTCTTCAGAAATCACTGACCAGTGATGGGAACTGAATACATCTTGTATGTTCTGAGTTGTTCCTTGACAAATAACTGGGCCTTTTTTTGGTCCCAGTTCATGTGGTGACAGTCCATTCTCCATATGATCTTCCATGTGGGTTTAAAGTCCATGAGAAGATTTTAGTTATTCTAGGAAGCTATTTGGAGACCTGATTGCAGTATTCTTTTTCAGGAATGCCATTCAGCCGTACTGATAATGGGAAGATTTATCAGCGAGCCTTTGGAGGTCAGAGCCTCAAATATGGCAAAGGTGGCCAAGCCCATCGGTAAGGGTTGCATACTGCCTAAAATGTTCTGGTTACTGTGAGGGAATATTGGCAGTTGTTTAAAGAAATTAGTTTTTTTTTAATACAGGTGTTGTGCTGTTGCCGATCGAACAGGCCACTCACTGCTTCATACTCTTTATGGCCACAGCCTAAAGTATGACTGCCAATACTTCATTGAATTCTTTGCCCTGGATCTGATCATGGAAGGTGGTGAATGCCGTGGTGTTGTTGCACTTTGTCTTGAGGATGGTAGCATTCACAGGTTCAAGTCCAAGAACACAGTGAGCATTTGCTGCTTGCTTTTCCATGTCTTTCTAATTTTGAGGTTTGACTCAAAAAAAATTTACATTCTTTTTCAATTCAGATTTTGGCTACTGGTGGCTATGGACGAGCATTTTTCTCCTGCACTTCAGCTCACACATGTACAGGTGATGGAACAGCTATTTTAACCAGAGCAGGACTTCCAAATCAAGACATGGAATTTGTCCAGTTTCACCCAACTGGTTTGATTCCCTTTTCATTCCATTAATCAGACTGTTGGAGTGGAGGACCAGCATTTATTCTGATATTCTGTATTGTAGGAATTTATGGAGCTGGATGCTTAATCACGGAAGGATGTCGAGGTGAAGGTGGTTTCTTGGTTAATAGTGAGGGAGAACGCTTTATGGAGCGCTATGCTCCTGTGGCCAAGGATTTAGCCTCTCGAGATGTTGTGTCCAGGGCTATGACAATCGAGCTCCGTGAAGGCAGGTTTGTACTTCCTTGTATTCTTCTGTGATATCTCATGTGAATATGAAAAGAATAGCATATTGCATTTGCAGAGGTGTTGGAAAGGACAAGGATCATCTTTACCTTCAGCTGCATCATTTGCCTCCAGAGCAGCTTCACATGCGACTTCCTGGGATTTCTGAAACTGCTATGATCTTTGCTGGCGTCGATGTCACAAGAGAGCCTGTTCCTGTCCTCCCAACTGTCCATTACAACATGGGAGGCATTCCCACTAATTACCGGGGCCAGGTATTCATTTAGTCAGACATTTATTTTACAGGCTTTATTTTACCAAAATTCAGAGATGCTTTTTGCTCTGCTGATAATTATGGGGTTTTATTCAAGGGCTTTTGGAAGACTTTTGTGATTGACTTGGTCGACCTTGTATACATCAGGCACTCACTCATGAGAATGGACGAGATAAGATAGTCCCAGGACTGTATGCATGTGGTGAAGCTGCTTGTGCATCTGTGCATGGAGCTAATCGTCTTGGTGCAAATTCTCTTCTGGATTTGGTCATCTTTGGTCGAGCTTGTGCTCATACAATCCGTGATTTGAACAAACCAGGAGAAAAGATTGGTGATGTTCCTGCCAATGCAGGTTAGTTAGTTCAATGCAATTTTCTACTTCCTGCTTTTTTTACTTCAAACTGAATGAAGATTCAGCTTAATTCACTTATTGATACCAAAGGAGAAGCCTCTGTCGCCAACATGGACAAATTGCGGCATTCCAAGGGCTCCATATCAACAGCAGACTTGCGCCTTGAAATGCAGAAAACTATGCAGACCCATGCAGGCGTTTTTCGCACTGGTGAGCTCTTGGAAACAGGTGTCAAAAAGATGTATGACGTTTACAAGAAACTTGATGATATCAAGGTATCTTTTTGAACACTGATATTGTGATCCTATATCATTTTTTCTTGTCAACCAGTGGCTTGTAATGATTGCTCACGATTTTATGAACAGCTGACTGATCGCGGGATGGTATGGAACTCTGACTTGGTGGAGACATTAGAATTGCAGAACCTCATGCTGAATGCCCTGCAGACAATCGTTGGTGCAGAAGCACGCAAAGAATCCCGTGGAGCACATGCTCGTGAGGACAAGAAGGATCGTATTGATGAATATGATTATTCCAAGCCTATTGAAGGGCAACAGAAGAGGCCATTTGATCAGCACTGGAGGAAGCATACACTGGCCTGGCAGGATGAAAGGACTGGCAAGGTCTGTTCTCAAGTTTTCCAGAATATCCAGAATGATTTACCCTTTTTTAAAAAATACTCCTTGTCCTTTTCTAGGTGACTCTTCGTTACCGGCCAGTAATTGACCAGACGTTGGATGAGAAGGAGTGCCCCATGGTGCCTCCTGCTTTGAGGTCTTATTAGAAGTAGGCTTGTCACTTTTCATGTCACTTCCTCACCATCCAACTTGCTCAGGCTTCTCCCTCACCTCATAATTACATCTTCCAACATTGTAGGTGTAGGACTTTTCAGTGCCTGAAAAATCTCCCAAGGAAGTACAGCCAGTATTAATGCATTTACTGCCAGCCTCTAAAGCTCCCAACCAGTGCACTCATTCACTTCCACATTCATTGTTTTTTCTATCAAGAATATTTTCAAAATGCAAATCTTAATCAGTTCCCAAGTCTCAGCCCTAGCTATTGTCCCTCTCTAAGTAAGATTTCCTTCCTCTTCTTCCACTTGCATCAGCTGTAACTGCTACTGAAGACAGGCGAAGAAGAGCTTTGGATGCTGGGAATTTGGGTTTGATCATATGAAAAAGACCATCTGCTACCTAATGTAACAACTACTTGATACTTTGAACTAGTTATAGGTTACTTGATGGCAGATTTCTTATATTTTCCTTAATGAATTGAAGATGGTGGCAGTGAATGTGTTAAAAACAAGTTGTACAGGTATCTTTCTTGTGATCATGTGGGGAGAGTGGGAGGAAGAAGTATGTTTTTTTTTGTTTTCCCCTTGTCCTTTCCCTGGGTTGACCCATTTGTGCAACTGCTTGTGGGAACTTAGATTGTGATCTGCTCATTGGAATCAGTCTGCATTTTCCTCATGATAATAAAAGAGGAATTACAACAGCTGTGGCTGGCCTTTTTGTGTTTTATGCTAATTATACTTAGATGCTTTGCACCCTTTACTTCCTTTTGGATTGGAAGTGTTTATGTGAAGAGAGAACAACCCTGTAGGAGTAGGAGGTTCCAGTGTTGCAACAAGGATTGAGGAGTGTCACTGACAATGTATCACATTACCTTGGCTGACTGCATGTATGATGCTGCACTGCTTCCCTGTGATTTGCATTGATAGCTGGATTGGACTTTTAATTATAGAATATTTTTAAGCAATGAGGGATTATTATCCATATCTGATATGTTGATATTCATCAAGAGGGGTCTGTTGTAACACTGATAATATAATAGTATGTCTCTATCTGTTACATGGATGCATGTCCATTCTCAAAACAAATGGTTGGTGAGTACATTTTCCTCTTGAAATGGCAGATTCGAAAACAATGAATTTTAAAATGTCAGCGAGGGTATGTGATTGTAGAGTGGAGATGCTAGTTCCTAGTGCAAGGAGTGTGCATTGAGAGTTTTGAGTTACAGAAAAGGAGGTGAGACATAGAGATATGTCTCTTACCATATCAACCAGTCCCGGTGTAGATCATGACAAGTAGATTGAGAATTTTTTTCTAATGAATTTCTGCTCTCTATCGAATAGGTTGAAAATGAAAGTCACGTTTTCTTTTTTGGGCTGTTGCTTTAGCTGTTTTAAAAGCATAGGTTGCATTGATGGATAACATGAAGGGAGAGGAGTAATTGTCATCACCCATCGTGATGGAGCAGTTAGGATGACATCTGTCGTTTCGATTGGGGTGCAGACATTTCTCTTTCTGTCGTCCATAACTCACCTGTGATTGGAGTGGGAAAAGGTGACTATCGCAATGGGAAATGAAACTATCCATTTAATGCGATGACCGTACACTTTTCCTATTAAGAATCATCTACCATGGTATATTGATTTTTTTTTTGCTCTTTGCATGGCTTGCAAACCTTCAGATTGTACCATACAGTATGCCAATCCCAATAGTTCCTGATGCATCTGTACTGTCCTGAAAGAAAGTTTGAAAACCACTTCATAATGTCCTCTGCTCTACCCTCCTTGGCCCCAACGAAAGATGCTAAGTTACTGTCAATTTTAGACAAAACAGACGTTCCAAAATATATATCTAAGGTGATGGTTTCTCCATGTGCTGGTTGCACCAGTACACAAATAAAACCTGTTATTGTTTTTTTGTATGCTGATAAGTGATCACTGACATCCCTATAGTAGGAATCATGATTCAGAATAGATTAATCTCAAAATTCGAGTATACTGCTAATTGCATTTGGAATTGAAATTTCTCATGACTGGTGAGCAGTGATCATTGAAAGAAGAAGAAAAAAGCATCAAGAAGGGGTTAAGCAAATTTGAAATTTAGTATGAAAGCTTGTAGCAGTCAGGTAATTTGAGTCTAAATGGGGATGTGATAAATATTCCCCCAAAAAACTTGCCTTACACCCCCAATTGGCATGAGGATATCATTCACCAAGGATTATATGTACTCGTCGGCAAAAATAAAAGTGCCTCCAAGAAGGAGTTGAGCAATCTTGATGAAATTTGGTAAACATACTCGTATTAATGTGTTGTGAAATTAATGCGAGTTTCAAGCTCGTAGGTTGAATATTTGCAAAGAAAACTTTCCAAAAGTACTAATTAAATGGGGTCTCAGGGATTGTACATTTCGCCCACAACGAACATCTAAAAGGAGTTTATTAATGAAATGCCAAACAGGAACTTCTATTGATGTTTAGTACAACGGAGCAAAGTTTCAAGGTCATCGGATGAAGCGATGTTCCTTTTTCCAGTTTCCTTTTCTGCTTCCCTCCATCTACTCCGCTTCGCTTCAATCGTTTATCTTTTGTCCTTAAAGCCATGCCAGGACGACGTCAACGACGACAGTTTCGCCAACTTGACCAATTCGATTGACGTCGGTTAGTTGGCATGATGAAGGCAGGCCTTAGCATGCATCAGGTTGCGCATCGGCTACGTGAAAGTGTGACTACCGTGCAGCGTTGGTGGACTCGGTATCAGAATGGGGCCAACCACAAAAGGCAACTAGGATCAGACCGCCTTCGCATCACGACGCCCAGAGATGACCGGTATTTGAGAATGCAGATTTTCCGAGACCGATTCGCTGCTACCCGTGTTCATAGAAGGTACTGGTGGCTGGGGACGGGCCAAAGGACTTCTCTGAGGACTACCGACGTGCAATCCAGCTGGGACTGCGGTCTAAACGACCTGTCAGGATTCCCCTTGGACCAGTCCATCGTCCCGCCAGGCTAAATTGGTGTCATGACCGGCAGAACTGGGGGATTCAAGAGTGGGGGGAAATCGTTTTCTCAGATGAATCCCACTTTTGTTTGGACTTCAATGATGAGCGAATCCGAATGCGCCGCCTGCTGACAGGTTTCTGGAGGCGTGTATTTCGAAGTATGACCGTTATAGTGGAGGCAGCGTCATGGTCATTAGCCTCAACGAGCGATCTCAACTTGTGGTCATCCATGGAAATCTCACTGGCCCGCGTTACGTGGATGAAATCCTGCTGCCAGTTCTGGAGCCCTTTCTTCAGAATGATCCAACCAGCATTTTTCAGCAGGATAACGCCAGATCACACACGTGCAGAGTGACCACCAACGTCGTGCGGGACGCCAACGTGCCCACCCTACCTTGGCCGGCTCGCTCCCCGGATCTTTCTCCAATTGAGTATCTGTGGGAAAACCTAGGCCGTTGCGTTCGTTATCATCGTCTGGACCTTCCTGCGACGCTGCATGAATTTGAGCGGAGACTGGTGGCCCACTGGCAGCAGATCCCACAACAGGAAGTTCACCACCTTTTTGACAGCATGCCACGCAGATTGCAGGCATGCATTGCTACGCGTAAAGGACATACGCGTTACTGAGTGGGGGATGACACCCTGATACTGATCCTTGTCAGTTGCACTGATTTAACCATTCATACTGCCAGGACGGTAGTGATGCGAGGAACCCTGTCGTTTTTCAATACACATTCATCCAAAGGGCATTCCAATTTCCAATCATGACGCACTTCAGGGTAGCTTTTGAGTCGATAGGTAGAATTCCCCGGTCCGCGCCTTCAGGACGATAGTAACGTTGTTTACATACCAATACCACAGACTTTGAATCACTTTGAAGAATCAAATTGTCTCAGTATGTCAGTAGTATGTCTCAAATTGTCTCTAAGTGGCAAACGTCGCAGTTACGACGTTAATACAGGCTAGGGTTTCCTGCCGCTTGGACGGTTAAAGAATCAACAATGCCATATAAGCAAAGTGGCTCGAGGGAAGCAGAGGATACTAACGTTATCGGTGACGCTGCCCCAGTACCATATTCCTCGGGGTTCGGCATGTTTTCTCAGCATCCCTTCATCCTATGATCTTGAAACCTTGCTCCATTCTACTAAACATCAGGAGTTCCTATTCCGCATTTCATTAATAAACTCCTCGATGTACGTTGTGGGCGATAAGTACAACCCTTAAAATTTGGATGTTTGCCAAGTTTCCTCAGCGAATATTCAACCTACGATCCTTGGTGTAAATTTTTTTTGGCGATGAGTATTTTTTTAATTGTGGAAGACCTCTTTCATGAATGACCTGAAATGTTCTCCCAATCTGGAAAGGCTCAGATTATGCATTCATTGGAATAAGTTTGCTTCAATGCAGCTTTGCACTTGACTTTGGTTACTGCATAAGCATTCCAAGTATTGAGAACTTAGGCGTTTCCTGATGAAATTTGAAACTGAAGTCACCATTTCTAGGTTAGTGAATAAATTTCATGGAAATGAAACTAGTTTGAACCATAGTAATAAAGAAGAAATATTGCTCAAGGTGTATGAAAAGATGAACCAGTGCTCTGAAATTTTTTTTCTCCCAAACATTGCCATCTCCTATGATTTTTGCAATTATCTGTTTGCAGTTACTTTGCTGGGGTTAAGGGTTGAAGTTTCCTAGAGGTAGTCTTTTCTAGGTAGCATAGAATGAAACTGTTGGAAAAAAGTTTTTTTTTTTACTCAGAACTAAAAGGAGCATCTTTTCCATCCCTCAATATACTTCATTTGAAATTCTATAAAACTTGAGTATAAAATTTGAACACAAACATAAAAAGGACAACAACAAATCAGGCACCACTGGTGCCCCATTGAAATCTGCCATCAACAGGAAGAAAGTTCTTGAAGCATCACAGCCGGTAGAGAATCTTGTTCTAAAGAAAACTCAGATTCTCATTCAGGTTTCACTTCATACCACTCCTGCCGCTCAGCATCTTCTGGGCTTGATCCAAGGAATCCAGAATCTGGCAGTCCAGTGTACTGCAAAATATGTGAATTTTTATAAATCTTCCCAGATTATAAACAATCTTCCATGTGCATCCATACCTTGAAGTCAGAAGTTTTGAGTTTGAGATTAGCTCCAAGTGAGTCGTGACCATCCATAGCTGGGAATGAGGAGCACCTGTATATAGGTGGGCTTCCCTTGTTTGTGTGGGGCAGGGACTTCCCATCAACCTCATGGGCATGAGTCTCAGCCAGCACATCATGGTTCAACAGTCCCTTCCCACGAGACCACCAGGCACGTCCAAGTCCTTTCCCAGGCCAATCTTTGGGCCATCTGTATTAAAAAGAAAATCGTTTTAATCAAGGATATTAGAGTACCGTCAAGGAAAGCCTTTTGCACCATTTCCTCCTGACCTCTCTGATAAAGCTGGGAGCTTGATGTTTACTCCATGATAGTGCTTGAGGTAGAGATAGGCAAGCCCTAGCAAAAACAAAAGCACAAGAAAGAAGACAGATACACCCAGGCAAACAAAGGACCATGCATGCCCTTCAGTTGCAGCTTGATTCCCTTGGTGATACTCATGGTGATACGAGCAGGTGACGCCATAATAGCGTTCAGGACATTTACACTGAAATGAGATTATCTTCCCCTCTTTCTTCGTGGTTTGACACATCCCTTGATTGTGACATGGATTTGGATAGCACAGATCTCTGCCTGGAGCATTTTTCTGAAAACAGAAAAGTTTTATAACGTCATGTCAATATGGTTGATATAATACCCAAAGCTTGCAACTTACAGATCCAAATGAAGGGATGCACTTGTGCCCATTATGGAGGGAATCCATGCCATCAGGACAAAGGCACTTAGAACCCATTGGGAGGCTCACACAAATGTAAGGACAACCTCCTTCAACCTGTGAACATGCCGACTCTCGCACCTTGTCTGTAAATAAGAATGGATCGTGTCCAGTTACCATTAGTTGCCACTAAGGTTGCAATGACTGCACGACTCACTGATTACTATATTGCTAACATAGCCAGTGTCAATACAGTTGTGATTAGGGTTCAAACAGAAGAGTCTTCTTGGTCTTCCAAGTCTTTGTATTTTCTACCAAATGCATGAAAATATGATTGAAAAGAGTCATGATGCCCTGAGTCTTTTGCAAGTCCAGAGATGGAGCATGTCAGTTATTTGAGGGGTTCTAAAGCCAACAGGCTCAAGCACGTGTTAGGAAAGCATACTTCTCTACTTAAAGGTTGTATATAGACCTACCACATAGCTATGCTATCAAGTCACTTGCCAGGTGGCTGAAGAGCCGAATGCATGAGGTGAATCCTTGATGAAGACGATGGTAACTTGTGAGATTCACACTCTGATACCTCTTCCTTGACGTGGCATAAGTTGAGCACAGAGGACTTTGCATCCGTCCACATAATCACATCCTCCCACAAAGCCAGCTGTAATGGCACATCCATCTAACAAGAAATGAAGAAAACTGCAGTTACAGCAATCCACAGGTCAATACAGCTATTCTGTGTTTACGTCTACCTTCCGGAGTGAGAGGGATCTGACTGGACGGGTGCCATCAGACAAAGTATAGTCAATGCTGCCCTTGGATGCATCAGCCCAAAAAAGCCATTCTCCAGTTGGATCCAATGCCAGTCCTAAGTGAAATTTCTAATTGCATTTCCAATTTCTCATCTCTTACTTGCCCTGGTTAAATGCAAAGAAACCATGACTAACCCATGGGTTGCTTCACGTTCTCTCCTGCCACATAAGCTGTATTGCTTCCATCAAGATTGCTGCGCTTCACAGAGCCCCAGGGTGACATCATCCCACGACCAGCTGACCAACTACTCCAAAATAAGTGTCTGCAAAGCAACGCATACTGGTCAAAAAATTTTTACGAAAACTTAACTGATGAGCCTAAGTCTCCTCACCCTTTCAATGGATCCACCAGCAATGCCCCTACATACAAGCTGCTAAGCTTCATGAGGGTATGACACTTCTCAGTACCTGCAACCTCTTTATTTGTACAGACCTGTAACAGATCTTGATCTTATGTAGTACTTGGGTCTGCATATCATCTTGGAAATGACAATATGAACTCACCATAATGTTGTAGTGATTTGCCAAAGTCCGTTCTGTTAAGTAAAAGTTGTTTGAAATCCAATCGTATGCAAGATGAGAAGGACGCGTGATACCCTGCACATGGACTTTGACATCCCCCTCTTCCTTTCTCATGCTCATCACTGTGCCATCCACTCCTGATGAGAATCCATGCATTGGTACAAGTTAAAACACCAGCGCCAATAGAAGGCTCATAACATGCAGTACCATCTGTCCAGAAGATGCGGTGATTTTGGACGTCAACGTCCAGGGATGTGATGTTAGCATGAGCACTATGGATTGGAAAGGATTCGAGGGTCTGGACTTTTCCACCCAACTGCAGAGACTGAATTTTTCCTGATGCTGAAATTAGTAACTGTGTCCTTTCTGCCTCCACCTTGAAAAAGGAGTGTCAATTGCAATCAAACAGCAAATAGAATTTCCAAAAGGTACATATTGCTCCAAACCTTGCAAGTTTTCCCATCAACTGTCAGTTTGTAGCCAGGCATACATTCGCATTTAAAGCTGCCTTTTGTGTTGATGCACTTTTGCATGCAGGGAGCATCAGTCGGCCCCAGGGCACCAGTGCACTCATCGATGTCATCACAAGTTGCTCCATCCACTAGAAGATGATAGCCTGCTTTGCAGCCACATATTGCGCCACGAGGAGTTGGCTGACAGGTCTGAGTACAATGGTGGTTCCCCTCATTGCAACTTGTTTCTAAACGAGATATCACGAAGATTAAACTCTTGCAGTATCCTAAGGCTTGTATCTTAAATAAGTTGACTCACTGCAGGCACCACCCTCATCTGAGGCATCAATGCAGTCTGCATGCCCATCGCATAGTTGAGTTTGATTGATGCAACCTCCATTTAGGCAGGGGTATTCCCCTTCCTCACATTTCCCTGTGAAACTCGATCAGTGTCAAGGGTGCTAAAGTGACATACATTCAGCATCCAATAAGAAATTTAAAAATTCTACTCTGTGTACTTGAGTTAGTCAGTGATCAGATTTTATTTTTATTTCTTATAAAAGTCTAATAGGAGTGATGGATGCTCTATTGCCAGTGGGAGTCCTAACGGTGCACGAGATCAATTCTCCAGAAAAGCAAATAGGACAAGTGATTAAAGTTCCTAACATAGCTGCAGTTCTCTTCAGGCTTTACCACATCGCCTATTCTAGGGTTCTCATGCACATTCATATTTAATCAGAAAGCTGAGTAAACCACTGGTCACATTCTGATCCAAAAATTTAAGACTGCCAAAAGAAATCAGAACTTGCCCAAACATGCAGAACCCAACATATTACTCAAATCCCCTCAAAAGGAATGACTTATTTCAACAGTAAGTCCACTTGGCTATTTTTAAATTGTAATGATATAACTATAGCTGTGGCAATGGCATTACATGCCCAATTCGAAAAACCTTACTTTCTCATGGTCTAAAACAAATCAGGGGTCATTTTGCCTAAGCATACTAGTGGTAGAGGCAAGCAAGTCACTCAAATTAGACAGAACCCCAAAAGTCCCAAAGCGATTGGATGCATTTTTAGGAATGGCAACGAAGTACATTCAGCCTGATCCGACTGAGATTACAGAAATCAGTTCCCTTGAAAGACAGATGAAGACTTCCTTACCTAGGAATAAGGCATTGGGTTTAAAGTTTGTTATGGCTATTGCTTTCCCCTTGCAGGTTTCCTGGGCTTCATCAGAGCCATCTTCACAGTCTCTTTGACCATCGCAAAGCCATGTAGTATGGACGCACCGCCGACCATCATCACAGAGGAACTCTTGTGACTGACAGCATCCCAGCTCATCCACTGCATTCACACATTCCACAGATCCATTGCACCTACACAATAGAGCATATTATTCAACATTCATGATCGTTCTCCGACAAATCAACCAACTATGAAATTTTGGAATACCTGGCACTCAGGGGCAAGCACTCGTCTCCCTTAGAGGTCAAACACGAGAGAGTCGACTGGGGACACCCATTATCATCTTTCACTTTCACGGCACTGCATCCCTCTACAACCTCATCGCCTCCGTCACTACAGTCTGCCTTGCCATCACAGAGGAGATCTTTCGCCAGACACAGGTGCTCGACCACACATGCCCACTCATTAGCAGCGCATTTGAGACTGCAGTTCTTCTCGTCAGATCCGTCCAGGCAATCGCTTGATCCATCGCATTTCCAGGTTTCTCCAATGCATTGACCTAGTTAAGAGTTTCAATTTTGGACAGACCGGAGCCTCCACAATATACAGTGATGATGCTAAACAACTGCTCGTCAAACACCAATGCTTTGATTCCTGGTCCTTGCTCTGAACACAGATTCATGCAATCCAAAAGCTTAATTGATCAAGGTAACAAGTTTAAAATTCAAGGAACTTGAATTTCAAACAAGTACTTCGCGGTCAATTTGGACAAATTCCGAGCCTCGTGATTTTAGTTTCCAGTGCCAATGTCACGAGGATTTGGAAGTCTTTTCCAAAGTCTTACTATTCTGCTGTTCATCTATTATCTGACCCATTAAAAAAATTAATTATAGATAGAACATTCCGGTTTTGTTTAACTTTACGCGCAACTCAGTTTTTTCCTTCCTTGTTGCAGATTCGTTGTAGGAGCATTGCTGTAAGAGAAAAAGCGAGGGAAAAAAAGAAATGGAAACTCCCAGGAAAAGGCGCAGTGTGTGGCTTGGTTTGCAGAATCCAAATCAATGTCAGTGCAAAGAAATTACCGACGCATTTATGAAAAAGACGCACTAATAGCATAAAAGCTTGATTTGAAAAAATTCCTAGCAACTGGTAGTGTTACAACAAAAGGGAGCTGGATCTCCAAGTGTATCTGATGCAACAGTTGATCGTGTGCAAGAGGCGTGCAAACTGTGTACATGTGGAAGTCTACTAAAACAAGGAAAAAAACCTGCCTTGTTCAATTTAGACAAAACCGGAGTGTTCTAATATTTTTTAAGCCATTAATTTTTAAAATGGGCCAATTTATGGACACCCTGTACCGTATGATTTTTCTGTTTCCAGAAATTTGTATCACTGGTGATGAAAAAATTAGGGAATTCAACTCAGTTTTTCAGCTGCCCTGTCTGAGTTGCCAAACATTCAGATGATCCTTCTTGAATTGGGAAGACTCACCGTTCCCACATCTCCATTCCCCAGCAGGGCATTGGACAAGATGACAATCCTCTTCATCGAACCCATCACTACAGTCTTTCGCGCCGTCACATCGCCATCGCGCTGGAATGCACTTGCTGTCCTTGCATTTGAATTGCATAGCCCGACATTCATGCGGAGGACATGCAGCCTCGTCCGAACCATCGCTGCAATCCTTATCTCCATCACACCACCATATTTGGGGCACGCAGTCACCTGAATATAGAGAAGTCAAACGTAACAAAGAACGTAACAAAGCGACACCTCATCCTACAAAACGTGACAATGGAAGGACAATGAAAACAAGAGCTCCAACCATTAGCACATTGTTTGTGGAAGCCATGGTCTTCAGAACAGAGTGAATTCTTGGGCTTGGCACAATTTTTCTCATCCTCTTCCCCGAGGCAGTCTGCATTGCCATCACAGTGCCACGAGGACGGAATGCATCGTCCGTCGTGACATTGAAAATCCCCGCTCCCGCAATTCACTTCTTGAATGCAAGAACGACGATTTGGACCCAAGCGAAGACCTGCTGGGCACATGCAGGTCTGCAAGACGCCAGTCAATCAGAATACAAATCCGCTTTCGAAAAGATGAAGCCGAGGAGGGAAGAGAACGAACCTTGTTGCGAGATGGGAGGGGAACACACAGATGACTGCAGCCACCATTCCCTTCCTGGCAGGGGTGTCCCTGACCTTTCACATTGAAGAAACTTTCTCCTGGGATTTTCTTTGAGATTACAGTCAATTTGATCATGGTTGGAACTTCAGCCTTAGCAGGAACTGTAAAAGGTAAGGTTAGGGATAATCAAACAGTGCAACAGCTGCTCTACCTCGGACGACATATCAAGGAGCCCTAAAACCTGGGAAAATCTTTTGATGCAACATTCCACAGTCCATTTTTTATCGCCCTATATCGCAAAGATTAAAAACCCTTCCCATGAAATAAAAATTACGCAAAATTTGCAGGCTTTCTTGCAGAAAATAGTTATAGCATACTAGTTTATAGGGGGGAAAACCTTCGCGAGACTGAAAGGTTAAGATTGAATAGTGGCAAACTGCTCAGATGTTATCCTATCTTATTCGCTATATTGCGCTTGAAGTGAAACTTTATATTGGGCTAGTCAAGAAAATATATACTATCAATGACTATTACGTCCATTCAAATCCTTTGAACTAGAGACTTCACTGTCATCTGATCAAATCATTTTCTTTTCATAGTCCATTGTCATTCCTATCTAAAATAGGAACCTCTAGTAAACCAGTCATTTCTTCTTGACAAATTGACATTCGCCCAAAATATTCCGATTTTAGCTATTAAAAGCACCACTAAATCACATTTGGCTAAAATTAGGGACAGTGAAATCAGCTGGTAATAAAAATTTGGGATTGCAAGTGGTTATAATTATAGGTGGAGCAATCAATGCCCCGATTTTTAACAATCACATTTTTGTATATTATTCAATATATATTCATTCGGGAAAAAAAAATCCCGTTCTCAATAGTCACGTACGAAAAATGAAATTTCCACTAAGAAAATCTATCCGCAATGAACTCCATGAAACTTCCAAGTGGTGCAACCAATATTAGAAAAGTTTTAACTAAGAAAATGCTTGAAATTTAAAGGTTCTTGAAGTGAAGGGTTCTTCAACTTTCCAAATAGGTATGTTAGGGTATGTCACCCAGTGCATGTGGGACTGAAAACTACTAGCTGGTCAATTTAAAAAAGTTACTGAGGGTCCCAGTGAAGACAACTTTGAAATGCGATGCAGTTCAATAGAAATCAGCCTAGATGGTTGTATGAAGGGAGCCAGTGACCATATCACATATGCATCATAGGCTTCGCTGTGAACAATGGTGTGGAAAACACTGGAGACAATTTGCAAGAGGTTAACGCCAGCTGCAGGATACACGGGAAAGGCTCAGAAAAGGCTGAGCAGACAAGTGTTAGTTGGCACAGGGGCACACCTTCACAGCATTATTGAACACCTGGAGAATTAACTTGCACTAACAAGACTCACGAAGCATGAGGGTCTTGGTGCTGCTATCCTTGAGGGAAATCCCAGAGTACTTTGAAGCCCAATGCAAGTCCCCACTGTGCAAATCAGACCAGTACAGGTTATGACCCAGGAACGCCAGCGCATAGGGTCGACTGAGGAAACTCTTGAACCGCCGACGGTCACTTCCATCCCAGAGCGTGCTCTCGATGCTTCCTTCCTCTTTGTCCGCCCAAAAGATCCGGTGGAGATCGTAGTCGATGATTAGGGCCACTGGGTATGAAATGCCCTTCTCCACCAGATGCTGATGGATTTGGCCATCCATGGTGAAGCGATCGATGTGTCCGCGTCCGTTTGACCCTCCGTGGGCCACATACAAAAACCTGGTCGAGAATGCAAAGTTTTCGAAGTCATAATGGAAATATGGAAATTTTCATGGAAATTGGAAGCATGGAAATACAGTCTACACAAGTCAGTTGAACAAACCCAGAAGTAGGAAGAAGAGCAAGGGCAAGGGGTGACTCAAGATCTTGGGCAAGCATTGTTCTCGACTCGGAACCTTTGGCGAGGTTCATCGCTTCCAAAGTCCCGTGCTCGGCATCCACCCAGTACAAATTGCCTCCCAGTGGATCCACTTGCAAGGATTCCACACTACCCAAATGGTTCGTCACCAGTTCATCCATTTTTTGCTCTTGCAAGTTGACTCGGTAAAGCTTATCCTTGACGACATCGCCCACAAACAGGGAACCTGTTAACAATTGGGGAATCTCTCACATTTGCGTGAGGACCATCAGCCATGAAGTTTCACAAACGTACGAGTCACAGGATCATAATCCACAGCCCCGACCCGCGAGAAGGAGAAGGGCAGATGGCTGACGACGTCCCGGCCGATCTCGCGCGGCGTCAGCGTGAGTAGTCCCGTGTCCACGGACAGCACCAATTGATTTTCTTCCTCTGAAACCCAACGGTGGTGCACAAGATTCGCAAATGCAAGACTTCATTTAAGCACTGACTTATTTACATCATTCATTGGTTCATGTCTGTCTTATCCTTTATATATTTTGTCCTGATGGACAATATGAAACAGGATGTAAATACTTTTAGTGCCACGCGGCCGATTCATTGGCTTGATCGACTATATATAAAGTTCCCGTGGAACTAAATTTTTATTTTGATATCCCTTCCCAGCTGATTGCTAATCAGCTGAATTACTAATTTCTCACCGATGCAAGTTTTGCCATCCGAAGCCAAAAAGGTCCCCTCAGGGCACACACAGCGATATGTTCCACGGAGACTGGGCAAGCAGATCCCAGCACAGTCTGCATCCCAGCACGCATTCTTGCTTACTGGCTTCTGCAACACCGGATGGAAGACGTGCACACCCATCGGATGTCCGCTTTGATCCTTGATCAGAGTCGCCCGCTTCTTCCCCGTGAACTTATTGGCCGTCTGGATCTCTTTCATCCTCCAATCGGACCAGAACAACGTATCCTCGAACACTCCCAGACTGTAAGGGTGCATCTGCTTCTCGGCTACGATGATCTCCCGGTTGGTGCCGTCCATGTGTACGACCTCGATGCGACCCAGCTTCGCATCCGCCCAATAGAGAAGCCTAAGGAGCCTGTCCACCGCAAGACCATTCGGCCATACGATGTTCTTGGACACAAAGGCTTTCACTTCCGTACCATCCATCCCGCTATGGTAGATCCCAGACTTCTTTTCACCCCAGTCACTCCAGAACATCATCCTGTGATCGGTCACCGGTGTCTCAAAAATCAGGGTTGTCATAGTGTTTGAATACCAGCACTTTAATTTTTAACCCGCAATTAGTTTTCTAATGGTGTACTCAATTTTTGTCTTGCTATTTTGTGCGTATTCTGCCCAACGATAGCAAATGCAAACTTCACAAACCGCTGCTCCCCTCCCCCCTTTAAATAAACAGATTTAAATGACAAACCTTCAATTCTTATCTTTTTGCATTCCCAATGGAAATAATTTTGCTCAAAGTCCAGATTTTTAGCAATGGCACATTCATACCATTTTCACAGCGAAAATTTTTATAATGCAGACCGCACATTACTCTCAGAACGCATGAATGTAACAAGCGACTATACAAGCTTCGTAAATCCGCTGTTTTAATGCGAGAAGATTGCAAAAAAAGTTTACTTCTTGGTCTCCCCTGCCTACCCCTATACCTATTCATAAACCACTAACGCTAAATATATCACGAGCCGCCACTGATGTCTTGACATTTGTTTTAAACACAGGTAACTCGAAAAGTAAGAAAATTGACACGCACGATTCCTGGCTCAACTTTAGAAGGGTTCAATCTATCCCTCAATTACATGTGCAGTGAATATACTCAACTTCTTGCAGTTAGTTTTTTTTTTTTAATAGATGCGATGAAATCCACAGGAATTGAAACCTAATTCATTTCACTCAAGGCATTAAACTCACCTTTCTTCAGGATGGAGAGCTATGTCCCGGGGCTTCTCCATGCCCCCGTTGAGGAGGACATGGCAGGCGGAGCCGTCCAGGGTGCAGACCAAGATCCTCGGCATCGACCTGGACTTGGATTGAGAGTCCGTGTCCATCGAGTCGACGATGTAGATGTTCCTTCCGGCGTGGTCGACCGCGATTCCCTCCGGGACGGAGAGGTCAGAGGCGATGAGTTGGGGGACGGCATTCCGCTTCAACGGGAGCTTGTACACAGCGCCTGCTCCCACAGTCGCGTCCGAGTAATACACCATCCCGTCCACTCCGTCGTATGACACATCCACGATCTGCAAATGAAGAACGAGGAGTCCTTTTAGTCACTTCATGCGAGAAAGAGGCATTCATTCCCTCGCTGAAGACCTGTCCAGTGCCAGAGAAGACCGAGATGTACTCCTGCGATCGAAGGTAGAAGCCTCTGATTTGAGCGCCCATGGCGAAAAGCAGCAAGGGATCGCCGCCTGCAATCAAGGACAGGAGGCATCGTGAGCAATCTCTTGCATAATATTTTTGAGAACTCGAACAAGATGACGAAAGCCTTTTCAGGCAGCTAAACCTCGTTTAGAGAAGCAGTTCCAAACTTGTCACATATTAGACTCCGTTTGTATCAACTGAAAATTACACCTATTATTGACTTTGGAGGGCCAATATTTGCTTCCCATTTTATTTAATTTCTCTTTCTGACGTCAATTTGTGCCCCTTCGCATAGCGGAAATGTTAGTTTTCGGCTTCCTTTTGTTCAGAACTTAATTTTCACAGTTCTTCGTAATTAACAGCAAGAATCCGATAACAGTCGATTTATGGCTGGGGCTGAAATTCCCTCCGTATTTTTGTCCCACCAGTCATCCATTGCCCTGAAATTGACATTCCTTTCGTAATGTTCTTTCATTCGTCGGACGAACGTCCGAGTACAAAGGATAAATCAATTTTATAAATGGGAAGAACTAAGTACTAAGGGAGTACATCACAGACCCGTGGCACGGCAAGTCTTCCTGTCCTTTGAGTCCAGGGAATACCCAAGGTGGCACTCGCACTTGAAGGACCCCGCAGTGTTGATGCAGACATGGCTGCACCACCCTGCTTGCTCGCACTCGTTAACGTCTGCAAAGAACCCCGTCTCCAGCCCATGAGCTTCACGTCAGCGATCCAACCGAGAGAAGGCATCCTCGCCTCAACTCACCGACGCAGGCAGTCTGGTTGGTGAGCTTGTACCCCAGCTGGCAGGAGCACTTGGGGCCCTCGGGAGAAGGAAAGCAGAAGTGCGAGCACGTTCCGTTCTCGCATTTGGATCGACCTGCAAAAATGTATCCTTCCGTGAAGCTCTGGAAATGAATTTTACAATAATTTTACGAGAAAAAGGCTGTGGACGACTAACTGCATAGGCCGCCTTCGTCAGAACCATCAGGACAGTCCTTCAGTATGTCGCACACTTTAGATCTCTCCACACACTTTTGGCCCAGCTTACACGCGAAGTCGCACTGTTTTTGTTCAACCTCCATTTCATCTGTGAGGGATCCCAACGGTTGATTTGTCATGTTTTCTCTTCCTCATCCAAGGAGGAAAAAAACCTGTCCACTTACGGCAGTTGAGTTCATCTGAACCATCCGGGCAGTCCACCTCATTATCACAGCGCCATCCTTTCGGAATGCATCGACCCGAACGGCATTTGAACTCCTCGCAGGGACAATTCCGCTCGTCTTCCATGCCGGGACAGTCCATATTGTGATCGCAAACCCATGCCTGGAACCCCGAAACGTGGTCTCAACTTCGCATGAACCTTCCCCAAAGAATAGAACGCCAAAAAATTCTCACCTGAGGGATGCAAATTCCAGGCGAACACTGAAACGTATTCTTGGAACAATTCCGCCTAACGTTATGACACTTATCAGACATCTCGTCCGACCAATCTCCACAGTCATCGTTCCCGTCGCAGACAAACTTCAGATCCAAGCACCGCCCGTTCCTGCAGCGGAAGTCCTCCTCCAACCGGCAACGCCGAGACCCCAACGCTGCCCATCAATGTCTCCCCGTCACCGAACCGCGAAAGGCCAAGCCGAGATAATCAGGACTCCACTTACCAGAATTGGTGGTCAGCGCAACGATGGAGGATGGGGTGGTGGACAAGACGGTGCAGTTCAATTCGTCGTCGCCCTGCGGACAGTCCAATCGACCGTCGCACAGTTTTCCGACGTCCAAGCACACTCCTCCGTCGCATAGAAACGGGCAATTAGACTCTTCACCGTCTGAAATACGTTTTCAACGTCAAAACATGGATCGAAGCTAGGAAGAAATTTGAGCGGTAGTGGCGAACGTACTCAGACACGACAAGAAAAGCAGTATAAAATGGAGAGGGAGAAGAGCTGACATCCACACCGACCCCATGTCGAAAGTCAACTGAGGTTTCGCAGATTCATTCCGGCCTAAGAAATTTATTTCCCTACTTTCTAGAAGTCTGAAGGACACGGGGGGGTAGACATTGCCGCAGGCAATGTCTACTCCCCCGTGTCCGTCTACCCCCTTTCCCTTTCCTTGAGGGATTTTTTTTTCTTCCTCTGGGACTAACAGTCTACTCTCTCGTCTAGGTTCTCTCAAGCTGAGCTATGACGGGTTATCTATCCATTTGGTGCAAATGACAGACATTTGTTTCTGTGCTTCTGTACATAATACAGCACTTCAAAGCTCCATTCATTTTTTAATCGCTTCTTTCAAATTAATTAATTGATAAGCGGGAGTCACATGGTTTCCCGTTTCTTTCTCACTAGTCAGTTTTTCTTCCCTCTTCCGCCACATTTCTCTCAAAAGGCACACCAGCTGTCCTTCCTTCTCCATGATGTAGCGTAGTTGTTCGTAGCAGCTTTGGGCGTTAAGGTTCCAGGGTATTTTCTCCTCAAATCTTCCTATCCCGCACATTCAGATAAAATGTGTATTTCGGTCTCCTTCTTCTCACACCAAGGGCAAACGGAAATCCCTCCTACTCCTGTCTTTCTTTGCCACTTCTAGGTTCCTAACCTTAGCAGAGCAAAAGCCCGTCTGTATCCTTTGTATTTTTCAAGAGATTGTTCCGGACCAAAGCAGGTCTTCATTCTTTGCTGTATATTCAATGTTGGTTTAACCTCTATTTTTGCTCGTTGCTGCTGGAAGCTGATATCCTTGCATCTCCTTTTGCATTCCGTTAGAAACCAGTTTCCTCCTGGTCCGAAATGCCACACATACGAGAATCCTAGCTGATTTAATATTCCTTTTATATCTTTTCCCCAAGAATCTTGGTTGCCCTCTGCCCACTTTTTTTTTGTTGCAATTCGTAACACTCTTTAACAATGGGGTGAGTATGAGATCTGACTCTAATCCAGTATTTAACCATCCTCCACCACTATATGAACATCATGTTACCTCTTCCATGTTCGAGGAGTATGGCTGCGTTCGGGGTGCCTCTACTCGCACCCGTAATACTCTTCAAGAAGGAGGTTTGCAGCTTTTCTATTTCTTCGTGCTCCCGATATCCCAAAGTTTCCGTTCCATATAAAACTGTGCTGGTGACAAGAGCGTCGAACAGCATACGTACGAGACTACATGGACTATTTGGATTTTTCTTTAAAAATGTATTCAAGGAGTGGAGTGCTCCCTTACCTTTATTTTTTCACGTGTCCGATGTGTTTGTTCCATTTCCCTGTGTGATATTCCTAAATATGAGAATGAAGGTACTACTTCCAATGGCTCCTTACCGTAGAACCACTTTTCGTTTCTTCGTCTCTTATGCCCTTTGCTGAACACCATCACTTTCGTCTTCTTTTGATTGACTTACATCTCCCATTTTTAACAGTATTTTTGCAGCTGGTTCAATGCTCTCTGTAGTCCTACTGGGGACAATGACACGATAGCTAGATCATCTGCATACAATATGCAGTGTATCTCCATGTTTTTGATCGAGGGTGCATGGCAATCTTCTGCTAAGCATCCAGGCGGGGACCTCCCTGAACCTGAACTGCAACCTTCCCGTTCATCCATGAACGTTCTCGAAGACGTTCAACCAGTCTTCAATGAGGTTTTGAAACTTTCTTTGTTAAGGTGCCGTTTCATCTTCAATATTCTATTCTTCATGACGTTTCTGAAGGTCATTGATTCAAACGTCAAACGTTTTCTTCGAGGATATCTGTGCCACTTGGTCGGAAGGGGCCAGCCAGTAGTGGTTCGAACAAACAAAGGTTCGCAAAAATGAGGTGAGATGACGCTAGAAAAGTCGCTATAGCGAGTCAATGCCTGATACAGCTGGTATTCGTGGTCAGTACTTTTAAGGAGAGGGAGAGTCGGCTTGAAGATCGATTAATGTTGTGTTGAAAATCTTCTCCTCCCAATTAAAGTTACCAAAATTTTCACGCCAGACATGCGAAATCGCGCTTTTCTTCAGTAGTAGGAGTCCTAGGCTCGCTAGGCTGTTTTTCACGTGACCACTGGGGAATGAGAGAACGCCCGAGAAACGCCCGTCCCTCTTTATTTGGGGATACAGGAATTTAATCCAAAACACTCCATTGATGGATTAAAAATTCATTCTAAATTTTGAATTGGGGGGCTTCATGCTTCCGCTTCGGATTTGTGCAAACCAAAAATATTCCCAGTCAGCGGCTTCGGTCGTTTCTTCGGAATCTAAGCGCCTCAAAATAGACGAATGATTCCAATTTGACGTGAGAAAGGGGAAAAGTGGACGCCTGCGATCTTCCTGCTCAGTTACGGTTAGATCTCGTGTGATCTCAGGTGTAACCCCTATTTTCTCATGACGGAGTGCAGACATGGCCCTATTTTTTTATATTTTTTTTTGTTTCACGAAAACAAGGAAACCCCAGTCGCGCCCATCATTCGCGTCATTCCGAGACCTGTCCAGTCGTCGTTTTGGTACAGTTATTGACTTCCTTGAGCGAAAACAATTGGAATGCGGTTCCATACAGACGATGTAACAATCTCAGGACGAGGCAAAAAAAAGAGAAGTGTCCGGTCGTGGGAACATCTCCTCTTAAAATGCGAATACCGGTTTGGGTTCAAACCGTCTTCACAAAAAAAGTAATTCTGGGTATCGACAGTTATCGGCAAGTGTATCGGCAGCCAGTGACGAGGAACGAACTCCCCTCTTTAGCCGGGGGGAAAAGACAAGAATGGATTCTCTGAGCGGTTTTCTTCCTTCGATTCTACGATATGCATCTCGATGAACACCTGCGGCCACAAAAGAACTGCCTGGTTACTCGATGCGTTGGTCAAGGAATCCCTCATACAGTGTCGGAAAAAATGGAGTTATGACGTCACACGAATGCAGTTCCTATCGTCAGAACGCTAATTGAGCGGCTGAAAATTTCATAAGGGCCTAAGTTAGTCCAGATCTTGACACAAGCAGGCGAATGGATGAAGAAAAGCGAATGAATTCCATTAAGAGAGAGACCTTTGTGAAGATGAAAGACCTGCTTCCTTCGTGGATGGCAAATTATCTCAGACGATGGCATCATCCGAGTTGATGAATATTAGGGAGACGGATAGGATAGAGTTGGAGTAGGTTGAGACGGATCGGCAGACGAGCGAGAGACTCGAGCAACACTGAGTGGATGTCCTCCGTCCTTCCGTGCGCCAGGGATGTCAAACTCCATGAGACTTTCTCGTTTTTGTCGACTGCTAACAGTTAGGGTTTCCACGATAAAATGCAGTACCCTAGCTGACGGTGAAGTTCTTGGATGAATCGTCGTGGTCGAAAACTCAGCTTTTTATTGATTTCTAAGCTCCTTCTCCCACCCTTCGGACGATTTCCGCGTCCGCCCTCGGCGACACCTAGCGGTGGGAGATCCAAAGCTCCTTTTAGTAGAGCGGACGTGTGAGGTACGAGAAGAAGGTTGGATGTGCGTTTCCTCGTTCCGTCGCTTTGTGCAAGAATCTCGGGGCATTAGATCCTGTCCGATGGTTCACATTCCTGCATAGGAAAGTTTCAGAGAAAGAATCGGACGAAACCATTCCCCGCGTATGTCTATCGAGGAAGGAGATCAGGGGATAGATGTGATAGTGCGGGCTATACAGGAACAAATTGAAACTTCCAACTAACATTGCTTCCTGGATTCCCTTGCTTGGGGCTGCGCCGTACTCGCATAGCTCCAGCATGATTGCCTCATCGACCCATTTACTACAAGTGGGAAGAAATTTTCGAAATGATGTCCCACGACTAAGTAACCGGCATACTACCATGCACCCGACGTACCGACAGCCATACCATGCACCCGCTTATGGACCTTGATATGACAAGGCATTTGTCCTCACACACTGCTTCGTGCCCCCGATAAGTTTTATTTTTCTTTTTTCTTCTCAAAGACGAAAATTCGGATGAATGCACAAAGCTCTTTTCTGGCTTAATCCTGCAATAAAAACATGTCCCGGAAGTGGTGATACTGGGAAGGTTTATTTCATTCAGACGTCCATAGCCTGTGCTATTATGGTTTTCCTCTTTCCATTGGAACTTGTATTGTGCATTGTATTGAGGGGGACGCTGGAGCACCGCACGTGTTGCTCTAAGTCAGCAATGCTTTACGCTTCTTTTCCTGCACCACACTAAAAGAACTAAATTATCATCGAGCCCCAAAACAAACTGGCGATTATACCAGATTTTTCACGCGTGCACACGTGACGTCGCTTTTTACTTCAGTATTAGGAAACCAAATTCCTGTTATTTTTCTCATTAACACTGGAAAACGTGAAAATTTCTCGCAAACTACAATCTCGTTGAGCATCGATGAGCAAACCCTCGAATGTTGGTAACCCTTGGTTAGTAAAAGGGGTAAAGGAGAGGGGGAGGGGGATTACCAGGGTAAGCCTAACGAGCATGGGAGAGAAGTAGGGAGGTTAGCTTGGGTCTCCGTGCCCCCCCTCCCGCCATCCTCTTGCGCCTCTCCACTTGAAAACTTATTCCTCTTTGGAATGAGCGTTCGTTCAGATGGGAAAGTTTCTTTTGCGGTTATTGGACGGGAGGAATTTCCCTCCTCTCTTTTTAGAATCCCGTATCCTCCCGAGGATTATCCAGAGTACATTTTTCTTTTATCCGATTTAGCTCTTCCCACGCTGTGCATAAGCCAAAGCAGGAAGTGATTCGTATCCGTTGTCAACCAAGAATAGACATAAATAGGCAAACAATTTCGATAAATGGCGCCACTAGGTGGTCCTAGAGGCGCCAAATATAGAATTTTTAATATGGAAATGACCTTTCCATGTTTTTTTTTTTTCTCCTGTGCACACTGCAAGTCTGACAATCAAACTCCATCTATTTTGGTCATTACAGCACAGTAAACACCCCACAGGACTTTATAACCTGTACACTTGTGGGTCACTTAAAATATTAATATATTAAATTTTAAAATATATTTTAGGTTTGCTTTTTGGAGTTTTAGGTTTGCTTTTTTTCCTCAGCCACGATTGTTCATACGAGGTGTAATCAACAAGTTCAAAGAATGAATTTTTTATGATGCTGTGGTGACTCTTTCCGGCCGTCCGAATCTCTTTCGTCCTCCAATCGGACCAGAACAACGTATCCTCGAACACTCCCAGACAGAAAGTGTGTATCTGCCTCTCAGCAACAATGATTCTCCGGTTGGTACCGTCCATGCGCAAGACCTCGATGTGACCCAGCTTCGTATCTACCCAGTATAGTAGCCTAAGAAGCCTGTCCTCCGCAAGACCATTCGGCCATGCGATGTCCTTGGACATCAAGGCTCTCGTTTCTGTCCCGTGTACGTGTATCCCGCTTTGGTAGATCCCAGGCTTCTTTTCACTCCAGTCGCTCCAAAACATGGCAGGAACGGCAGGAACCTTAACTGGTTCAGGTAGCTGGATTTCGTTTTTGGGCACTTGCTTCCAGCAGACTTCACATACAGTAATCCATTTGGTAACGGTCAGAGTTGTAAGGGGGCCATTTGTATTCGTTGATCATTTCTGCTTCGTGGTCAGCCAGACCCTTTTTTTAAAGTCAAGCTATTTTAGGCAGAGGATTCATGTTAAAATACCCAAAGATGCCCACAAAAGTGACACTCGCATGGAGTTACGAAATATTTATTTATTTGCTATTTTTAGGCATACAGAAATAGAAAAATTACTAATGGTATGAATATTTATGGTCTACCCTGTAGACTGCATTTGTACTATTTAACATGAGCTTCACGTTAACGACCCCAGCCGAGAGAAGGAATTCCCCTCAACTCACTGACGCAGATGGTCTGGTTGGTAAGCTTGTACCACGAATGGCAGGAGCACTTGGGGCCCTCGGGAGAAGGAAAGCAGAAGTGCGAGCCCGTTCCGTTCTCGCATTTGGATCGACCTGCAAATATGTATCCTATCGTGAAGCTCCGGAAATGAATTTTAAAAATAATATTACAGGAGAAAGGCTGTGGATGACTGACCGCAAAGGCTGCCTTCATCAGAACCATCAGGACAGTCCTTCAGTTTGTCGCACACTTTACGAGGTAGACCACTCCATACACTTTTGCAACAACCCTCCCCAGGGAACAGGTCGCTCAAAAAACTCACCTGAGGGATGCAAATTCCAGGCGAACACTGAAACGTATTCTTGAAACAATTCCACCTGACATCATGACACTTATCAGACATCTCGTCCGACCAATCCCCACAGTCATCGTTCCCATCGCAGACGAATTTCGGGTCCAAACACCGCCCGTTCCTGCAGCGGAAGTCCTCTTCCACTTGGCACCGTCGAGACCCCAGCGCTGTCCACCGGATGTCTCCCCCATCAACGAACCGCAAAAGGCCAAACCGAGACTACTAGACTCCACTTACCGGAATTGGTGGCTAGCGCAACGATGGAGGAAGAGGTGGTGGACAAGACGGTACAATTCATTTCGTCGTCGCCCTGCGGACAGTCCAGTCGACCGTCGCACAGCTTCCCGTCTTCCAAATATAGTCCTCCATCGCATCGAAACGGACTACACTCTGAAAATTCTCACATATATTGTGTGTCGCTTTCGTTCTCGCATAGACGTTGACCTACCTCTGACTGTACTGATTACAGTACACGTCAGAGTTTGGATCTCCTCTTATAGGTTCTGTGGAGCATCCGGGATATCAGTCCCTTATTACCTCATTTCATTGATGTCTGATTGAATGAAGTTCACAAACACTTCGTATATTCTAGGTCTCCTATGCGGATAAAATCATACGAGTTCCAAAAAGGTTCTCAATAGGAATATGAGCTTGTTTATGGCCTGGACTCCATGAATATGGCTTGAATATGTGGATAACAAATGATGAAGTGT